ACACATGCTCAGTTATTGCATCCAATATGGCCGTCAGCGCCGGGTGGGCAGAGCTGTGGGGTTAATGATTATTGCATGAACAGACGTGTTTGTGATGCAGTGGAGGTTAGGGCGATAAAGCCAATAAAATCCTGTCAGGTTTCAGGTGGATGACCCTGCCCAGGTCTGATGCTGACTCTGGAGCATTGTGCTGCAGATGAAGGGCGGCGCCGTCTGAGGCGCTGGCAGCGGTTTGCCGCAGAGCCTCGAGCATTACTGTGACAGTCCTTCTATCAGACTTTTATGATTCCATCTCTCTAATTGTGTTTAATCGCCTTTACTGCTCACATAAATATTATCCATCTGTAATAACTGTTAACGCCGTTATTCCCGCCTGCGACAGCTCTAAATCTCACAAACAGCTGCTCTCGACCTTTTTTCACCTTCTGTCCCGCACGCCGCCCCCCTCCAAACCACCCCCTAGCTCCATGTGCGCTCAACTGGCTGCTAATGAGGGGCTGACATGTTTATCCTGGAGGTCAAACGGCCCAATGATGGAGGTCACGACCCCGACGTGCTGACCTCTGACCTGCCAGCACGTGTCGATCCTTCCTGTGTTTGTAACACCCGCTGCTGCCACCGCTGCCAGCGAGCTCACACATCAGAGGGGTGGGGGGAGGGGTCTATGTGACCTCTGACCTCCCAAAAGTTGCATAAGTTTGCGTGTGTCTGTTCTGTGTGTACACAGCGAGCCGAAGACCGTTAATTTGAAAAGCTCCACTTGTTGAGGAGCTTCCTGGGCTCATCTTTAATGGTTCAGTTATAGTTGAGACTTTTTAAAAGGTCTCTGCTGTAACTGCCCAGGGATGCTTCGGCATGTAGCCAGGAATCAAACCGCCAACCTTTCCGTGAGCTGACGACCTGCTGTAGCTCCACCGTCTCATTTTCCCGATGTGTTCCAGGCTTGAACATCTGGGACGTTTAATAACAATCCAGATCCTGCAGTGCGGCTTTAGCAGTCTGCTGATATTGAGTCCAGTGGGTCGTCTGTACCGTGAGGACCAGACTGCTAATAAAATCAATACATCCAAATAATCACTCAATTAGAATTTATTAGTAAAATAAACTGATCAGAATGATGTCTTTCACTGACTGTCCCTGCTGTGATGGGAGCTCAGTGTGAGTCTTTCCTCCTTTCCCTGCTCCGAGTGCGCCTCCTCGCACACCGAGTGGAGCAGAAAGAATCCATCGTGTTACTGTAGTGATGCACACGAGCGTCCCAGACCGTGCTGCACCGAGCGCAGGTGTCAGCGACATTTTACAGTCGAGTAGACGACAGTTACACCACAAACAGGCGTGAAACCTGTCCACACTGCTGACTACTTCCTGTTAGCTGTGCTTGCTCTAATTAGGGTGGCGTGAGTGGACACAGGCAGCGAGCAAGTGGCTTTCAGAGTCCGGACTGGACCAAAACCTGGAGACCTGTGTGAGTCTAAGGCTGCAAGTTTAAAGTGGATATAAGCAAAGGTTGTCATGTGATAACTGACTGCAGCCAACCAATCGCTTGCACCTCCAGGCTGCTAACACAGGAGACACTGAGCGGACGCGCGCAGAGGAGGCCTCCTGCCAGCAGCAGGTGGAGGTGAAGGTGGAGTTCAACTGGACGTTCAACTCTCGTCTCTTTGAAGTCTCTGCTGCGCCGCACTCTGAGGATTAAGGAAGAAATGGTTTGGCGCACGCTGCTGTTTCTACGGGCAACAATGTTGGCCCCCACCCCAAGTCAGCGTGACGGGGATGAATTTAATTACCCACTCGGGCTGCCCCGACAGACCCCACCTCCGGCCCCACGAGCCACGAGGTCAGCCCGCCTTCATACAGCTTTTAATCGATGCCGTCGCTCCAAAAAAGCTTGGTCGTCTTAAACAAGAGGCCGGGCGAATTCAAGGATTCAAAGCCCTCACAGCTCTGCGTGGTGAAAGTTTTTCAAAATAAAAGCTAAATTTAGATGATTTTGAAGAGCTGCCACTGTTCTCGCCGCAAATGATCCCCCTCTGTGTTTGTGACGGTGGCGAGCGGCTGCTCCGCTCAAACAAAAACCTCACTGATGGTTTCATGCTCGCTGCCAAGAATCAGAGCCTTTCCCCTCAAAATAAAACCGCGACCGCAGCCGCCTCCAGACTCAAGGAGGCTCAGTGTGAAGCTGCACAGCTGATCAGCGAGCGCACAGTGGAAACATACACAGGCGAGGCGATGTGGACGGAGGTGTGGAGAATGGGCGCTCTCTCTGGGCTCACAGAGGCTTCAGTCTGAGAGAGGAAATGATTGTAATTAAGCTTCAGGGATGGAGATCTTTCAGAGCACTCGGCTCGGGCCGTTTGTGCACGATGACGGATCACAGCTGAGAGCTTACCGCCACAAAAACACGAGACTGAGGCAAAACCTGCCAAAACAACTGTTTCTACTGATGTCTGCCTCAAAAAATCCACTTCAAGTCCCGAAAACAAAAGAAAGAAGGGAGGAAAGAATTCATCCAGTCACAACTTTAACCAGGAAATCAGAGTCAAGGAAATTAGGATTTTAAAGCTGACTTTTTCTCCTTTTCTCCTAAATGCACCTGCAGTTCAAACTGTGTTTCAGCCACCGAACGTAAAAACTGAACTCTGAAATTCACCAGAATTTAACCTGACCTGAGAAATGTTTGGCTGGAAACGGCTGTTTTCACTCAGGCTCTGAGGCCTCTGGAAATCAATCCGCTGCTGGAGGAATCTGAAAGTGGGCCTGGCGGATAAATCTGTACTCAGGAGCTCCAACAAACTTAGAACAAGCTCGGTGCCAAATATTCAAACCGGCTGCCAAACATCTCCTCTGCGTGCCTCTGCCACCGCTCGCTGCTGCTCTCTAGAATATTCCAGCCAGCCAAATTATTTTCCCGTAGAATCAGTCGGAAATCGGGAACGTGCTGAGCAATCGCTCCGGAGATAATTGTGTTTTTTTCTGTGCCAGCTTCACCCCAAAAGCACGCCGAGCTGCTCTGCTCACGCCGGCGTCTCCGAGTTTCCTTTCACTTGTGCTTTGGTGACGAAAAGACGAGTGTCTGCAGGAGATAACACGCTGATCTGCTTTAAAACTGAGAGCAGGGTGTGCTTTCATCCCCAGACAAACAGAGCAAATTCTATCAGCTCACAACTAAACAATCTCATATTTAAACCTCTCAGGAATGCAAACAGAGCAGATGTCATACCGCAAACTGTGCACAAAGCACAAAATGTAATATCTGTGCATTCAAGGCTGGAAAACTCTGATATTTGTTAGGTCGTGTCACCAAGTGGAAGGGAAATGGACTCCCAATGTGTGGTTAACGTTGTGAAAGGGACTTACTTTAGCTTTAGTCCTAAACTAAGACGAGACTGAAATTTTAACAGCAGCACTCAGGAGACTAACCGTGGTCTCCTGAGTGAAAGTCCTCAGATATAACACCACCAATCGGCTCTCTGGGTTTACATCATGCATCCATAAACAGGAGTGTTCGGGGAAAAAAAAGTCGATACAGAACAGGACTAGGATATTATACAGGAACACCAAATATCTTTTTTTTTTTAAATAAATTAAAATACTACCAACAAGAGGACTCATCTAATGTAAGTTTAGCTAAGCAAACGGAAATCAGCTAAACCTAAAAACAATAACATGACATGCTCAGCTCGACAAAGCTTACAGCTCAGTCACACGAGTAACGATGGGACGGAGACAGATATGTGGTATCAGGTAATCAGTGTTTTCTGAGACACACACTGCATGTAGTTGCCGACTTGACCCCATTAACTGGCTGACTGACTGCAGACTGACTGCAGACTGACTGCAGACTGACTGCAGACTGATTTTCTTGTGGCAACATTTGCAGCCGGTTTTAGTGACACTGTTGGTTTGCTTGACAAGCTTTTTGCAGCAAACTGATGTGAGACATGATTGTCTTCATATATCATTGTCTACCATAAGAGACTGACAAAGTTTAACTTTGAGGACATTTGAAAAAAGGTGATAAATAAAAAGTAAATGTAATACTGTAATACTCTGTGTATTACAACATGTTAAAAGTAGTACTAATATCACAGTAATATCTAGTGTCATGAGTGAAATATTGTGATAATATCATTCTGTGGGGTGATTCTACCTTTAGCCATAAAGTAAAAGCTCACCTACGATTGTCGCTAATCAGCTGCAGCCTGCCTGCAAGTCGCTTAGAAACCCACCTACACGTGATGTTGGAATAATCGGAAACATAAATTTCCAACTGGGGAAATCCATATAAATCTGCTCAAAATGAAACAACAACTTAAAATAAAAGTGTTACTGCTGCAGAGAGATCCCAGAGCAGATACCACCCAACCGCCGCAAGGCGTGCCCTCTGAAACGTGTGCTGGGCCTGCACAGCTGGGGCACATTTAGCTGTGAGACTAGGCTGTTTCATCAAAGAACAGCTTCCAGAGATGCATTTATTAATCAGCTAAAGGCTTCCTTCAACAAACAAGTTCATCTTTGAAAGCTGTGAGAGTCGGACCAAAGCAGCGATCAGGTGGGCTAAGCCAAAAATAGCACAGCATTAACGCTCCGAGTGCAGACAGGAAATCCGCCGTCCCATGTGGATCCATGTGAAGGGACTCGAGGACAAGCTAGCTACCTGCAAAGTCTGTCATCTCTCCAAGTTTTTCCCACAATAAAACCATGTAAATTTCATTTCACAGAGATCATTTCTGACTTCCACTAAAGGAAGACCACTGCAGTGAAACTGCTAGGTGTCGGCAGCTAAATGCAGTTTAACTTACATGACAGACACGTTCTTTCTTCATTGACCAAACTGATGCTGCCACAGAAATACCAAACATGTCCACAGCAAACTCAGAGAAACCAGCATCCAGCACCTGAAGTGATCTGATGATCCGCCAGCAGGACCGCCATTTTCTCGCAGCATCTCTCTCTCACAAACACACACACACATCAGCAGCAGGAGAGGCGGGGCTTACCTGCATGCACGAAGTAGGCCAGGTAGAGATCCAGCTCCTTGACTGAAACTCCAATGTGATGCGGCTGCACGCACAGGCTGGGGTTCGAACACTGAGGAGACTTTACCAGCCTCTCCCCGTCAGTACTTTCGAGGGGAATCCCTTTGAATAAAATCACCATGACCAGGTCCAGCCGCCACACTTTGTCCGCCTGGCGCAGGCAGTCGATCCTCCTCATCTTGCCCTTCTGGTCGGGGTTGGACAGCACGCAGCACGGCGCCTTCTTCCCCGTCACCGTCAGCACAAAGTCCTCCCTGAACTCGGGCCGGATGTCCTTGCGCAACTTGGCCAGGAGGCGAGACGCCCACTTCTGTTTGACTTCGGGCTTCTCACTGAGCAGCTCGTCCTTCACGGCGCGCTCCTCCTCCTTGGACATGCGCTTCTCGTGCTTCTTGAAGTACTTCCTCTTACGGGCCTGAAGGTTGAACCATGTGTATGCGAAGGCCCGGACGTGGGGCAGCAGTGCTTCAATAAAAGGATGGAATTCATCCTGCGGGACAGAGATGGGAGACGCGGTGAGCGGCAGGTGACATGTCACGTGGCCACATACAGCATTTAAACATTATAAGAAACATGACGACTGAAGCACCGGCTAATGAGCATGTTACAGACGCAGCTTTAAGTGAAGCTTTTTGTGTTGTGTTTGGGTGACTGTTAAAACTCAGACCTCCAAAAACAAAGCGTCTGTCTCAGCTTCATAATACCGCGAAGGATAATAAGAAATATGCAGGTGTCTGCTGGTTAAAGCAGGAAACAGCCTTTTGCACTGACATCGACCCATCCATCCTCCCTGACCTCCACCCTGAGCCTCCCCTGTCTGTCTGTCGACTCCTTCCTTTTGCTGTCATCCCAAATACTGCAGTAGAGAGCTTCATATAAACGTACTCGCGTCGACCAGAGAGGTTAACAACGGGTTCCCTTCAGCTGGTGTGAATTTAGAAAAATGATTTTATAAAGCAGGACTGGAGATCAATTTAACAAAATTCTCTGAATGTCTCTTTGTGCATTGTTCTAGGACATTTTTCACAAAATTTGGCTTTAACCACCTGCAGTCAAAAAGTCTGCAGGGAGGAATGTAGTGAGGCTGAGGAGCTGTTAAAAACCTCTTAATTATGCGTTTTAAAAATATAACTTTTCAGACGTGAATGTTTGTATTTGGAACATAATCAAGTATCTGCTCCACAGAAAAAAATAATAGAATATTTCTCCAAATTTTAATTTGCAAATCGGGAATGATGGACGGGAATAAGAAAAGAAACAAGAAAACAAGGAAATACTGTAAGAAGTAAAAGTGGAAGGAAAATAAGGAGGAAATTATGGAGGAGGGAATAAACATTTGAAAAGAAAAATCAGAAGAAAAGTAGAAAATTTAAAAGCAGAGTTCAGACTGCAGCTTTAAATTCAAACCTGTCCTCGACTCTGTGACATGAAAAAAAAAACAACACACCGCCGAGCAAGCGGCGGGAAGCCCAGCGCAGGGCAGCGTTCCTGCACGCGCTCCGAGCGCACCGCGAGGGGGATTACAGCTGCATTAAAGGTGCATTATGTGGCTTTTGACTGGTGAGCATAGTGCAGTTAACAAGGTGGGAATATGGTTAGACAGCACGTCGTGGATTAGACCCAATATGGGGCGGGTTACACCTGCTCTGTGCCGGCTTTCTGCGTGCCGACTAAGGAGCTGCAAACCACAGCGCGCAAACACGAGAGGAGGAGGAGGAGGCTCAGCTTGGCCGCCTCAGGTTTCAGGGAGCAAAGCTGCACGAAGCACACGGAGCCCACACCTCCTCCTCCCGTCTGCCAACACAATAAAGATGAGAAAGCCTCCAAAACTCAGAGACCTCTGACGCACAGCGGGCCCAGCTAGGGCTAACCCAGGCTGCAGATGTGGCCACATGTGGTCCGCACTTTGATCTCGGTGAGGTGAGCTGCTCCAGCTCTTTATTTTTAACAGTTGAATTTTATGAAAGATCATTTTTAGACGCAGCTTTCTCAGATCTGTTCGTTTCGTGGTTTCAAATTTTACCTGCTAAAATCTCAGAGCTTCAGTAACGACAGTATCCTGGCTCACAGTCACAAATAGTCAAACATTTTCTCACTCAACCTCCTCAAACACAAGCAACCATCCACCAGGCCAGCAGCAGCCAGTTCAGGGCTGTGATTGGTTCATGAATCCTAGCAAAAACAACTTTTCCTTCCGGACTAAAACACATTCGAGTAAAAAGTGCAAATGTGCTGTGAACGGGGTGAGTGCGTGGCTTCGTCCTCAGACGAGCAGTGGATTCAAACCCAGCGTCTTTGTATTAACGGCGATAATGAGCCCAGGAATAAACAGACGCCGTTTTTAGATTTAAGAAAATCACCGTCAGGTAAAAGTAATCCGAGTACAGGACGTGTGGCTGCTTGACATGTGGCGATGAAATGACTACGGTCACATACTGAACCAAAAAACAAAAACACATGCACCAAACTTTCAGCTTTTAACAAGCACATTTCACCCTCGATGGCCGGGAACCAATCAGGAGTCAACAGGAAGTTAAGGCCGTGACATTTAGATATTATCCCAGAAAACAGGTTTTACTGCAGTTTCTAATTTATTCGTTTTTTTACTGTTTTTTATTAGCATCGAGCTGATTTAAGAGCAGCGTGTGATTAAACTCCACAGGCTGAAAGACTTACTTTATTTACAACACATCAGCTGATTTTTATTATTGTCTGCTATTTACAGTATAAAGGTGTGTGCGGGGCTGGTCAGAGGCAGGGTGGCAGGTTCAGATGTGAGCTGATTAAACAGGTGAAATCAAAGTGTCCAAGAGCACGGATGAAAAACTAACTACTGCTGTGCTGCTTCTCGGCGTTTGGATTCTCGTCTGTGGTGCCGCTCAGAGAAAACCTGTGATTTCACTTTGTTTCCGTCTAAACACAGACGGCTATGAAGGAAAACAGCAGCAACAGCATGGAAGGAGGAAAACATCGTCCCGGGGAAGCAGACGGACAGAAAACGTCTTCATGGAACATTTTTGATTCGGACCAAACCCCTCGGAGGCCCAGAGCACCTCCTCCTCCTCAGCCACGTACTGAAAAAGAAAAAAGCTCTATTCATAGATCAAAGAGGCTCGCACAGATCTCGATACGTGTGAATGCCTCCGACCGGGTGGCATGTGGAGGCCGGCTCACAGCTGTGCGCGAGCCCCACAAACCCGCTTTCTTTCTTCAGAGGCGAGCTGCTTCACAGGAGCTCGAGCTGCGGAGTCCCTGAAAGCTGCAGCGCATTATTATCATCATTGTCCTGAACCGAGTCTGATCCAAGAGTCCACCTGTAGCAGCTCTTTGACTCTCTCCTGCCTCAGTGACAAGCTCCTGTAGCACTGCATGTTTACAAGCAGCCGTCACAGCTGATTTCAGAGCACACACACATGTCTGAGTGAACCAGGATGTCCTGGGGTCTGACCCGATTCTCCTCGAGACCCAGAGACTGTGTGTTTCAGTGCAGCATGCAGGAAACTGTTAATTACATTCATTTTAAAACTGAAAGTTTCCAATATATCTGCACTCATTCAGAGCAGAGTGCTTAGAAAGGAAAAAGTGGGAAGAGTGGAATTGTGACACCCCCCCCAGCCCCTCCGCGCATCATCTCAGTTTAAATCACAATAAATACAACGACTCTTTTCTCCTACAGGAAACCGTCACACTGAACCAACGTCGGCTTCTTGTCTGCAGCTCGAAACTCATTGGTTCCCTCTGCAAACACAAACACGTTTTGTGGGATTTTTTCCAATAAGCAGGATGGAAATCTGGATTTTTGGGCCCTAGTTTCAGCGGGGGATTAATATGTTTGTAGGATCGGTGCACACTGGGTGCTCAACATTAACACTCAAACTGTTTGGTTTCTTAAAAGAAGAGTTGGGGCTGGGCTGCAGGTTCGGGGTTAAATGTATAGAAACCAAAGTTTTCCAGCTGGGAGTCAGAGCTGTGTTAAACCTGGAGCTCGGAGCGCTGCCTCCAAAGAGGAAACTGTATCTCCAGGCTGTGCATCAGAGCACCAGCTGCACGCCTTTTTTTCATACAACACTGCTCGCCCTCCCTTGTCAGAGGCTGAATACAGCACATTGTTTCTGGTTGGAGACGATCCAGGCGAGCGGCTTCGTCTCCAAAGCGCCTCCAGCAGCTCCGCGGCCGACCTGCAGCCGCTCTCCGAGCCCGGCTTTCACCGCAGGACGGCCTTTTGTCTGCAAGCGTCCTCGGGCGCTTATTAGGACGCAGAGCGGCTGCTGGACGGGCGATGTGTTCTCTCTCTCTCTCTCACACACACACACATATACACACACACACATTCCACAGTGGATCTGCAGCTCGCTGGCTCTGGATGTTCGCCGGAGCCACATACCAACATTCCTCACAGCCCAGTGCAACGTTTCAGCTTCCTGAGCCGCTCACACCAGCTCCACCACCGCTTCCTCCACTGCCTCTTCACACTCCGCCCGCTGCAAACAAAATCCCACTTAACAAGTCACTCACTCTCAGATTGAGCCTGAAAACAGGCCGGCATAATCCCTCCTGTTCTCAGGAATGTTTGCAGTCCTCAGACTGAATAATCCTGCGGCACTCCTCGCAGAACTCCTCCCGCTGTGTTTCTGGGGTTTTTAGAGGTTTACTTCAGTCTCTCTGCTGCAAATATTTTAAGCCACAAAACAAAGAAAATTCAGACGTTCAGCGTGTCGGGGAAAATCACCGGCAGGCTGAAGCCAGGCATCGGCGCTCCCCACAGCCTCATGTCCATGTTTGGATGGATTTGAATAAGTGAAACTAGTGCTGAGAGTTAAATCTGTGCACTTTGTTAGTGAGCGTGTTATAAATCAGACTCATTAAAAATCAAACGACACGCTGATCGATTTGTTTGAGCTGCAGGGAATTTTTCAGCTTCCTTGAAACATGAAATTCCCGGGTTGGAGGTAATCTGGGTGCCGTTCCCGCCTCCTGAAGCTTTCTCCTTGTAATTTGACTTTTTTGGTTTGAGTTGATTTGTGCTGAAGCGGCCAGCTGTGCTGCAGCTCAGCGCTGAATGAAAGGCTGCCCAGCCGAAGTGGGCTTCTTTCTTTGCCTCTCTCTCGGCCTTTTTTCCCTGCAAGGGGAGAGCAAGCACGGGCCGAGGCTCGCGTCCCCCCCTGCACCTCGGTGACAGATGTAATGGGCACCGAGTAACAACAACCCTCTGAATCATAGTCATTTAGAGGCGCAATAACCCTAATCCCCCCCACTGCCACACTGAGGGAATTATCGGCCTGTCGTCTAAGGCCCGGCGGAGCTGCCGATGCTCCGCTGCGAGCGCCCGGGGACCGACAGGAAGGTTCTCACCAATCAGAGGGTTCGATCCCCCTCATACAAACTCAAAGACAGCACGTTCCTAATAAACCAGCCACACACATACACTCATACACATACACATTCCTGCTTTATGTTTTGGGGATCTGATTGTGTTGGATCCTCTTGACGCAGGTTTGGGAAAGTCCAGCTGATCGGACCCTTTAACTCTGACTTTACTGATAAACACACAAAAATATTTAGATTTTTATATTTTAAAAACGATCAAAAAAATCTGCTGCTTTTTTGTTTTTATTCTTTTTAAATAATCGATGTGGAACTACGCACAGATCTGAGCTGTTTTTCTTTAAAAGAAGTTTAAACGTTCGTCCGATCGACTGCGGGGAAATATACAAATTTAATCACACCGTAAATGACCAAAACATTTCGTGTGAAGCGCCCTCCCGTGGCCGGTGGGCAAAAACAAGCCATTTACATCACCTCCGAACAAATTTATCCCAAAGAATTATGAAATTTCAGATTCAGACTGAACACAGACAAAACTTTAATAATAATTAATTTTCACATTTAAATTTTGATTTTCCCCTGTTTCTGTCTCTCTCCCTCTCACACACACAGACACACACAGTTGTCAGAATATTTCCCTGAAACAAAAATAAAAAGCTGAATACTGGGATGAATCACACACACACGTTCACACTGAAACATTTTCCTCTGAGCAGGATTTGTAAAAACTGACAGTCTGCTGTTTATTGGTTTTACTGCCCGGTAATCAGATTACATGTAAAGCTGCTGCAGATTCACCCAAAAATAAAACCAGAGTCCGAGAACGAAGGCGACAGGGCAAACACGAGCACGCCTCACGTTCATTCACAGCCACGATCAATAAATCCTCTGATGAAACTGATCATCTAGAACTAAACCTGCGTTTTCTCTGCGCCTCATACACCAGAGCTACTGTTTGGAGCCTGAAACACGTCAAGATAATTCTACTCTCACCTCTGACCCTGAACGCAACCCCGCAAGAGCGAGCGGCTGGCGGCATACAGCCCCGCAGAGCCCCGCACAGCCCCGCGCAGATCGGCGGAGGGACTCAGCGCGCTCAGCCCGGGCACGGAGCCGCGGGCAGAGCCGCCGGAGCTCCAAGCGGCGTGTGCCGCGCGCACAGCCGCGCGCACGGCCACGGACAAAGTGCGTGAAAAGTGCAGAAAGTGTGACTGACCTGCGTGAGGCACAGCGGAGAGTACATGTCCGTCCTCCGTCCGCCGCCCGCGAGCTGCGCTGCGTTTATGAGAGCGGCTGCGCGTGCGCGGGGCTCTTACTGGAACTCCGGCCCCGCGTGTGTGCGTGCGTGCGTGCGCGAGGAGCAGCCGCCGAACTTTGACCCCGCCGTCTCCGCTCCGCAGCCCGACACCATCCCCGGTAACGGCGCCGAGAGCGCGCTCACAGCTCCGCGCGGCCGCGGCGCGAGGCGGCCCCCGGCAGCATGTCCGTCCGCCCTGCGGTGCGCTGTGGCCGGCTTGCGGCGCTGAGGCTGCTCGGTGCGGCGGGCACGCGGAGGGAGCGCGCCCGCTCCGGCCTGAGCTCCGGGACCTCCGGACTGCAGCGTCCGCACGCTCACACCCGCTCCTCGAGCCTCCGCTGCGTGCGTGCGTGCGTGCGCGCGCGGCTGAGCTGCTGGATGCTCCTCGCGTGAACCCGACCACGGACTCACTGATCGGTATCACCGGGACGGGCTGAAAACTTGGAGGCTCACGTGACCGGCGAAAACAGCGCGGGCGGGGGGGCGGGGGCAGTTTGGGTCGGAACTCCGAGCTGCAGCTGCGCAGTTCTGCTCCCTGATTCTGCCCCGGGGTCTGCCCGCACAGGGGGCAGGGGCACGGCACTCAGGGGCCCCGGGCAAAACACACACAATACACACGAATAATGAACACAAAGACACAAAAGTACACAGAAATACACACGAAGACACACAAAGAAATACACAGAAATAATACAAATAAACACAAATAATACACAAACACACAAATAAATACGAACACACACAAATAATAAACACAAAGACACAAGCACACAGAAATAATACAAATAAACACAAATGCACATAAATGAATACAAATACACACAACTAAATACAAATAATATGCAAACACACAAATAAATAGAAATGATACAAACACACAAATACACACAAACAGTACGCACAATTACACAGAAATAATACAAATAAACACAAATAAATACAAGTAAATACAAATAGACACAAATAAAAACAATAAAAATAAAAACAAACTGCTGAAATTTTTTCTTCTCCTCCAGACAGCAGGAGCCTCCAAAGCCCTCCTCAAATTATTATTATTATTATTATTATTATTACTATTATTATGAGGAGAAATGAGCTCACCTCTACTTTACATAACACACACACACACACACACGCACACACTTATGTAATGTGTGTGTGATCAGATATGTTGCCAATCAGCTGTTCTTTATGTAAAGCTCTGTGACCTCCGACCTGTTTCCTGAGTTGAGTGTAAACAGCTGTTGACCTTCATCTTTTTTTTTATTCCGTGTTTGACTTGTTTTTAGATATTTTTGTGTTTTGCTCCCACAGATGTTCAGTTATTGTTTCCCACAGTAGAAATGAGGAAAACAGACAAATGGACGAGTATGGACCCGCCCTCTTCACCACAGGTGTCTCATTGTTCACATGTGTGCATCTTCATTTTCAGCATCACGCTGCTCTGAGATCCATCACACACCCGGCACCACCACCACTTCCACCATCCTCTGCTTCACACTGACTCTGGATCAGCCGCCATCAGAAACAACTGATTCCTGAAAGCTCGTCCGTTTGTGGCTCCGTGCCTCTGTGCGCTGCAGGCTCTACCTGTTCCACCTGAACAGGAAGAAGGATGATGACACACAGAACCGCTTTGAAAGGTTAAAGGTCAGATCCTGCCGTTTACTGTGAGGAGCGTCTGGGGTGATCTGATAAAATATTTGAAAAGCTGTTTGTGATGCTAAAGCCTCACACCTGCAGGAAGTTCACAGGTCTGAAGGAAGGCGGCCGGAGTCACCCGAGGCACTCAGAGAGTCTGTAAACGGCTTTACGGGGATATTAGTCTGTGGAGATCCTGTAGGAGCATCTACAAGATTCAATAAAGCCTCCATAAAGCTGCAGACGCTCCGACGGTCCCGACAGTACCATCAAACCGACGCTGAATCACCACGGAGACGCACAGACCCACCATAAACCCATACAGCAGTCCAATCAGCACCAGCCTCCACCTGTCCCCACACAGCCCCTCAGGTGACCAACCTGCAGGAACATCAGTGGGTGGAGCCACAACAGGACCTTCTGTTTCACCAGAGTTAAACACAACAACACAAGAACGAACCAATCAGATCACACCTCATAATCATCGTCATCGCCATCAACATCATCAGCAGCAGAAATTCACTCAGGTTGTCTTCTTTGAACTCAGACACACACGCACGGTTCTTTTATCATCCAATCAGAGGACGCTGCATCACGACAAGTCTGTCTCAGATGAAACATCACAGCTGTAATCAATCAATAATCAATCATTCTGATCTGATCGTCAGAGTCCACGAAGGATAAAAGCAGGTTTGGATTACTCAGATTACAGATTACACGCCGTATGCACCATTACAAAGGTGAGTCAGGTATGACCACAAAGACTATTATAAATCAATAATTAGGACAGAAAGGGGTTGGTCTGGCTAACTGAGACACTTTAGCGGCTCCTTCGTCAGGCTGTTTTTATTTGTTTGTTTGTTTGTTGTGAGGAACACTCGTGAAGTCAGGATCACTGTATATATGGAAGTGTTTTGTGATCCCAAGATGTTTCCAGCTCAGTGCTGGTGGCTGGTGAAGCAGGTGAGACATGTGCTGACGTCACTTCCTTCTGCAGGCTCATGTAATCGATGGTCTCAGAGGATGTGGAGGAAGCCGTGACGTCTGCCTAGTGAAGCAGCTGCGTGCTCCCGCGGGCTGGACCCGAGCGGCGAGTCGTCCGAGGTTAATGAACAGAAGCTTTTATGTTAATAGAAGGAGCGGCGCCGTGATTTAACAAGACAATCTGCACATTTACTTTGGCTCAAACACGTCTGAGGCTGCTCGTTATCGGGCGGCCAAACAGCGGCTCTGAATGAAGGTCGGCACACAGAGACGGTAATTAGATTAGAGCAATTAAACCAGCTTTTTGATATGACCAATAATCTTAATGTGGAATTCACAGCAGGACATCCTGCTCCCGTTTCATCGTTTCCAGCAGATGCGCCATGATCTGAGCTCCAGCTTCAGGTTTAACAAGCGTTCACGTTCCCTCGCTCCGAGCCTCACCTTATGTCAACAAGAACTCATCCATCAGGCCTCACATCCTGAACTACAGGCAGATGATCAGATGGACCAATCGCAGATGCTCAGAACTTTTATTTGTTCCTCAGGACATTATTCAAAACCTGAGTTCGCCTCACGGTTCCTGCTCTCTCAGTCTGACTCATTAAGCATCCTGAGAAGCATCAGTCCTGCTCCACCAGCCAGCACCTCGGAGCCAAAGAATCACATGTAGAATCACTCCTGATAGCGACCATGAAGGCGACCGCAGCGAAGAGCAGATCCACTTTCACCGAAGGAGAGAAAAGCATCACCATGAACCAATCAAAGACTCAAATGTTCCACTTTCTCAGTCCTTTCCTGCACAGATTCTGCAGCACAAAGCTGCCACCATGGAGCGCACACAGCATTCATAAAGAGCACGTCACTCACCTGAAAACACCTGGGCAAATCAGGTATGCCCTCACCTGAAGGGACAACAGGTGACTGAACTATGGGAGGAAGACGGTGGTTCCTGCCTTTCTAATTTTTCATAGCTTTTTAATTATTATTTAAAAGAGAGGACAAGTTTTTTTTAAACCTTCCAAAAAGCAGCTCAGACAGCACAGGTGTAATCACCTGTCAGACAATCAGAAGCAGAAGAGGGCGGAGCTTTAAGTGACCACATGTGATGAAGTGATGATCGGATGTTTAAGGTGCAAGTGAACGCCTGCTGAGTGTCACAGGGCTCATATTTCTCTGCCTCATCAGGCAGCATTGGCAGAAAAGCAGCCTGAGGCGCCATCTAGAGGAGACTCACCGACACTACAGCAGCCTGTAGCCTGTGTGTGTGTGTCTGTGTGTGTTTGTTTGTGTGTGTATGAATTCTTACTATCTTGGTGGGGACCAAAATCTGAAATTCGCTATACTGGTGGGGGATCAACGGCCCTTGTGGAGACCAAAATCCAGGTCCCCACAGGGTTGAAGGCATTTTTCACACTCAAAATGTGGTTTTAGTGTCAGGGTTACAATTGGGTTATGGTTAGGTTTAGGGTAAGGGTTAGGCATTCATTTTGATGGTTAGGGTAAGCGGCTAGGGAAAACATTATGTCAATGGGATGTCCCCACAAGGATAGCAAACCAGACATGTATGTGTGTGAGTGTGTGTGAGAGTGTGTGTGTTTTTGTGTGTGTGTGTGTGTGTGTGTGTGTGTTCATTTTACAGGATCTAAGGGAGAAACTTTGATAAATTCTCTGATTCAACAAAAGCTGAAAATCTGATTTTGATTAGTTCATTTTAGTAAATAAAAAGTAAAAACATTGGAGACAAAAACAAAAGAGTAAAACTTCAAAGCCTGAAATAAATTTCCACAACACCAGTAGTAAAAAGATTCATTTGAAGTCTTTTGGGAGGGTGCATGAAGCCGTCTGTGTTTGCAATCTGACCCCACCTGCTTCTGCCAATCAGTGGTGATTTCCTGCAGTGACATTTTTTTGGATGCCACTGAGCTGCCATTTCAGTAAGAAGTTGTGGAACTACTTCTGTCCTAACAGAACAACAGAAGGAAGCGAGCTGGAACGTTCCGCCAGCGCCTTCCACAATTTCGGACGGCATTTTCAAGAAAACGTTTGAAATGATAGAAATGTCCCTCAGGGAACGTTCCTGGAAGGTTAAAGGTCAAACGACCACAGAACGATAGGCCTGCAGCGCTCGGAGAATTTGATGTCACGGGGATGTTTGTGACGACAGGACGCTCCCCTGAATGTCAGCGCAGCGTTGTGAAGTGCTGGGTGGTTGTCGTGGTAACAGATTATAACCCGTGTAACCAGGGCCGAGACTCCAATTACATTTCCACCCCTCAGAGAGCGGCCAATCAGCCGATCGGCTCCTTCATCTTTAACGGAGCGCTGTTTAAATAAAGATTCAGTTTTTTGTCTGTTTGTTTCTGCAGTGCAACGCAAGACTGGAACGGGTCAGAAGATGATGGGGGGACGCCACCAACCAGCCAATCAGACATGAGCAGAAATCCAAAAACTCGACATGGACGTCACCATGGAGACGGGCTGATGTCGGCGGCAGTTTGGGCTAAAAAATACAAAGTGTGTGTTTCTCTGTGTGTGTGAGTGAGTGTTTGTGTGCATGTGTGTGTCTGTGAGTGAGTATGTGTGCATGTGTGTGCCTGTGTGTGTGATGGGGGGACGGGGGCTCCTCCACCTGCTCCCACTGAGCTGCTGCCAGGCTGGAGACCAGCCAACAGAACCAGGCCTGAAACCAAGCCGCAGCCAAGCTCGCACAACCAGAGAGAGAGGGAGGAAAACAAGGGAGGAGGGGGAGAAGGACAGAAGGGGAGAGGAAGCACGGAGCGATGGGGAGGAAGAATAAGGTCAGAAAAGCAAGAAGAGGAGGAGGAG